CAGAAACAACTCCCCTGGAACTGTTCATCTTATACAGTATGCTTATCTAAGCAGCAGAACATAAATCCTTTGCTATAATCATATATGTCCCATTCAAACTTATGATGACTCTCTACCTTACACATACTCATGTACACAAACCACATACCTGAAAAGACACTGAAAATTTTATCATCCACAGGAAAAAAACCTTTGTTTCTGTCTATAAGAAGGTCATACCTGAAACAGATATCAGTGGATCTTCTTCATCAGAAGCTGCATGTGATTTTGTTAAAGGAAATAAAAAGAGTGCACACTTGGTTCTTTAAACAGGACTGTAAAAAGAAACATTTGGTCTCTTAATTTTACACAGCTGTTGACAAATAAACAGTCAACATTTTGGGAGGAAGAAAAGCAAGGAAAATTTGATTAGGAAAAAAACATCAGAGATTGCTAAAACAAAAGGCCTTACTTCTTCTTCACTGTGCATTAACTTTCAGCCTGTCAAGATTACCTTAGAAGTCACCTCAGCAAAAGATCCCAAGGACCAGCCATAGTTACAAGAACAATTACTAAGATAATGAACATTATCTTATATCATAATGTAATGAATAATAATATTTATTTAAACAGTTTATTGTTATATAGGGAACATCTTAATGTGTAGGGAAAGCAAATTCTGAAACAGTCTTTATTGGTAACTACAATGAAATCCATTTTAGGCAATACATTCCAAGAAACATAAATGAGGATAAATGCAAAAGGTTTCAAACTGGTCATTCTCATCTGATCATCACATGATGAGTAACGCATAAAAGCCTGAGGACTGAATATTTTTAAGAATTTTCAAGAACTTTCAAATATCCCGGAGGTTTAACTATTTAATTACTTGACCACAGAAAACCCTTTAAAATCATTAACAACAGGGCACCATACTATTTGTGCTGTTAGTAGTCACTGTGACTATCAGCAGTCACTGAGCTTGAATCCCTGCCTCCTAAAAGACACTAAAAATAGGACTCAATATAATTCAGGGAAGGATATAAATCATACTGTCTTCCTTAAAGGAGCAATTTCATTTAGCTGAACATAAAGATTGTTATTCCCACATAAATAACTACATACTTGTGGCTTAATCCCAGCCAGCAACTCAGTACCACACAGCCACTCCCTGTCCACCTCCCTGCCCCAAGTGGGGAGGAAAATCAGAGAGAAACAGTAAACCTCATAGGTAGAGATAAGAAAAGCTTAATAACTGAAACAAAAAAAAAAAAAAAATAGGATAATAATACTAACTGCAACATAAAGGGAAGAGGAAGAGAGAATTAAAACCCGAAAGAAACAAGTGATGCACAGTACAGCTGCTCACTGAGCAATGCCCAGCCCTTTTCCCAGCAGGAACTGGCAGCTCCCAGCCAACACTCCCTAGTTTATGTACTGGACATGATGTTCTGTTCTGGAATCTCCCTTTGGCCAGTTTGGGTCAGCTCTCCTGGACATGATCCCCTTCACTGGCAGAGCATGGGTCACTCAAGTCCATGTTTTTGGGTAAGCACTGCTGAGCAACATCCAAAACATCAGCGTGTTACCAGCATTATCCTCATGCTAAACACAAAACACAGCATAACAAGTACAAGGAAAAAAATTAACTCTATTGCAGCTGAAACCAGGGCAATACTAAAGTGGAAAACTAAAGCACAGAGCACAAAATTCTCCTCCACTATCTTTTATTTATACCCCTTTACCTTCCTCAACATTTCATGGCTGGCCAATTAACTCAATTATCTAATTTCTGTAATATTAAAAAATAAATGTATTTAAGGTTTTGCAGCTGCATTCTGACAAGTAAAATTGTGAAAATATTTCAATGACTCTATACAAACTCTTGCCTTAACTAAAGTTGAATTCTGATAGCACCATCTCAAAAACTTAATTTAGTAAATTACCACATAGTGGAGAAAATTAGGAAAAGTCTAGGAGTTTCCCCCTGTGGATAGCAACTTCAATCAACACCCACTGTCCATTACTCAACTGGTACTTGTCATACTGAAAGGGCCCAATCACAGGCTCACTTATGATCCTATTGATGTACTTTATCACTTGTACACAATTATCACTCATCAGCCTCACACCAGTTTAAAAAGACATTCAGTGAGTACTGCTGTCAAAGCCAGCTCCCTCTACAAACACAGAGAGCATTTCTGATCTCACTTGTGAGCTGCAGCCTGCCATCTCCAGCTGCCAGAACACACTGTGGGGGAATATGGCAAACAAGGCGAGGAAGAACAAACTCTATGAGGAAGGTACTGTGCATACCCTCTTCTCAAAAAGCACCAAGGTGGATCAAAAATCCAAGTCTGGATTGCAGCCCAGCCCAAGCAGCTGCGTCAGCACAACCACAACAGCAAGCTGCAGGGTACTGAGAAGTGTATGTTCAGCTCACACTGCTTCAGGAAACAACAAACTTCTGCACAGGCAGTTCCTACTCAACTGACATACAGTTAATCCACATGTAAACACACGGCTGTAGGAAATAAAATCATCTTTCTAAACAACATCCTGCTTTTAGAGTGTGCCTCTGGTATTGCCAGTTGTTGTGGATAGATTCCTAATAGCAGGATGCAAAGACTAGTCAAAGTTGTGGCTATTACTCCCCTAGCTACCAGGACAACTTTCCTGGTGAAACATTGCAGCCCAGTGTATTAGAACAACTCAAAGTTAGAGCAGGCTACCTCTATCAGCTGGACTGAAAATCACAATGACTCAGAGGCTGATTCATAAGCAATGTCCTTGATTCAGAGTAACAGACTGGAGACAGCACCAGCATCAACCTTTTAACATTAATCCACTGCCATGTGCTTCTCAAGACTGCCAGTAAGGCAGGTGTAGTATTATAAACCTTGCACCACCACAGCCAAAGTGCAATGCAACAGCAGAGAGAGGCACTGGAGAAACTCAACACCCAGGTAGAGCTTACCTATACAACCTGCCTTGCTGCACTGAGGTGATTCAATATTGATGGAGAGAACTTAAATTTTCCATATGTATTAAGCCAATCTACCAAATTCCCCAGCTGCTCCTCTTTTTTTGAAACCATACACTACCATTATTTTTAAGTTGTGCCATGTGCTTTTCTAAGAATTTAAACTTTTCCAAGATGAGAGGCAACACTGCCTATTCACCAAAACATGTAGAATGGAAATGATGTGTGAGGCCACTGCTGGGCTCAAGAAATTATATTTAGTGATGGTAAACAACCTGTTAACTGATAAAAATAGACTGTCAATGCAATTGCATCAATACTTCCACAACTGAGCAGAGTAGTGACAGTGTGACAATAAATCCAATATGCGCCCCACACCTTCATCCTATTCACAGCACAGAAAATGTTGTAGACACACATATTCTTCTTTCCAATCACCTCCAGTCAATGCTGAAATCCCACTCTCAGTCTGACTAACAGCAATGCCTCAAGCCCCTCATAAGTGGAACTAAATTGTCAGCTTCTAAATTTCCACCAGGCCAGACTGTCAGTTCTACCCCAATGACTTCAAGTCACTCAGCTTCCAACTCAGCCACACAAGCCCAAGCAGCAACAGCAGCTCTTGCTCCTCTGAGCCCCACGAGCACATCTCTCCCTAGTCAGGCTTGTACAGGCTGAGCTTCCAACACCACAGCCACCACCCATTCCATCTACGTGTCCAGCCCCACGCAGTCTCCCACAGCAGCCTGCAGTAGATGAAACCACCCCAACCTCACACTCATCCCTCACAAACAGAGCCAACCAAGTCCCACATAGGCTCACCCAGAAGTAGCCAAGCTTGTTGCCAAGCTTAGGTGCCAGATACAAAAGACACATATCTTCCCTGCTCAGCTTCTAGCCTTAGTTTCAAAGAATCACAGAATCAATAAGGCTAGAAAAGACCTCAGAGATCATCAAGTCCAATCTATGACTGGACACCACCATGTCAAACACTGAGTGCCGGGTCCAATCCTTCCTTGAACACCTCCAGAGATGGTGACTCCACTACCTCCCTGGGCAGCCCATTCTAATGCCCAATCACCTTTTGTGTGAACAAATGCTTTCTAATGTCCAACCTAAACCTCTCCTGGAGCAACTTAAGACTGTGTCCTCTTGTCCTGTCACTTGTCACCTCGGAGAAGAGCCCGACCGCCATGCAGCTACAACCAACCTCCTGTCAGGCAGCTGTAGAGTGTGATGGGGTCACTCTTGAGCCTCCTTTTCTCCAGGCTGTACAACCTCATTCTCTCTATTGATTCCCTTACAAGTTCCCATAAGCAGAACGCATTTTCCCCATTTCCAATACAGTTACTTGCCCCCGGATTTCACAGCTGGGTTATACTGAAGAGGACTTACGATCCTCCCTTCTCTCCCAGGTCACTTTTGCTTTGAAATCTCGCGTACCCCCTACAAACAGGCACATACGCAATCCCTCTCCCCAGGCCAAGCCTCCCCCCACACTCGCCAGCGGAGCTGCCCCATAGCCTCTGCCACAGCCACATAACCCCACCCGACCCACGGCGCCGCATCAGCTCCACGCCAAACCCCCCGACAGGCCACCCCGAACGCCCCTGGCGGCCCCTCCCGCCGCTGTCCCCTCACACAGAACCCCAGGCAAGGATACAGCCCCGGCCCCAGCGAGCACCTCCAGCCACACCGGCGGCCGCCGCCGCCATCTTGAAAGAGCCGCCACTCCCTGCATACCCCCACAGCCCCACACGGCTCTCGCAGCCCATTGGCTGTCTGCGCCAGAGGCACGCGGAAGGGTACGGGGCATGCCGGGAATCGTAGTCCTCTGAGCGCTGGCCGCCGCCATGGGCCGAAAGGGGCACCGCCCAGAAGAACTATTATTCCCAGCGTGCCCTACGGCTACGGGGCAGTAGGAAGGACAGAAAGGCATTGTTCTCTGTCGGGCTGGGCAGAAGCAGGAGTGTCTCACAGAGGATGGAGGAAAAACTCCCCACCGGCATCAAGCCATACCTGGACAAGCTCACCCTGGGCGTCACAAGGATATTGGGTGAGTGGCGTTGAGCTACAGCCCCACGGGGCGGGGGCAGGCCGGGGTGGGGGTGGGGGAGCACCCGGTTGTCAAGGCCCCTCCTGTGAATCGCTCAGCTGAGCAGCCTATGCACACACGCAGACACGTCCTTGTTTCTAAAAGAAACGGCAGGAATCTCGAATCTCTCGAGTTTAAGGGTTACATAAACATCAGAGAAGTAGAAGGTGGTGTTTTATGAAAAATCATGGAATCACTGAATGTTAAAAAGTGGGAAGAGACTGCAGAGATCATCCAGTCGCAACCCTGATTCCATGGGCAGGGACAGCTTCCACTAGACCAGGTTGCCCAAGGCATTATCCAGCCTGGCCTTGAACACTGCCAGGGATGGACATCCCAAGATTCTCTGGGCAAACCTGCCAGTCTCTCGTTACCCTCAAAGTAAAGATTTTCTTCCTAATAACCAACCCAATTTTCTTTTCTTTCAATTTGTATCCATTACTCCTTGTCCTATCACTACAGTTCATAATGAATAGTCTCTCTCCAGCTGCCCTGTAGGCCCTATCCAGATATTGTAATGTTCCTATGAGGTCTCCACAACCTTCCTGTGTAAATCGTGCCTAAATTTGATCCTCTGTGATAGTGTGGGGTCAGCAGGGAGTGTGCCCCGTGAAGGGGAGTTCAGCATGGTGCAATGCTCTGGTAAAAGGCCAATTTGTGAATCTGCTCGGGATCAGATCCCTGCAAATAGCTGCCCTGCAGCTCATTCCCACACTGTAAGAGTTGTTCCACAAAATGCCCTGCTTGCCATTTCCAGGTTTTGCTCAGATCTTGAGCCTTCTTGCATCCCCTCAGCTCCCTCTGAAGTTCAGCAGGACTGCAAGGCATCCAAAGGAGGCATTCTCAAACAAAACTTTATTCATATCAGTGGAATCACAAGGCTTTGTGCAACTACTTGTGTGTGCAAAGGATTTCAGCACTATACCTTTCATACCTCAGCAGCACAGAGCACAGGACTGTCTTACTTGGAAAGCTATACACCTATCCCAAACCATGTGTACAACAAGAATAGAAGTTGCAGTCTTGGAATTTCTTCCTGGGAATTTTAGAGCCAAAAGTGAGCTCTAAGTGTCTCACCCCAACACTGCCTTGCAGGACAATGAGTTCCACCTGGTAACCTCAGTGTATCTGTAGTTGCACATGGGTTTGGATAGTTGCTCAGACAGATGAGATTAAAAGATCAGGATTAAATTCTTCCTCTGAGCTTCAGTGAAGACAGGATTTCACCCTCAATCTCTGATCAGTGTTGTCATACTGACTTACTATTGGACTTCTGGGGGGGGATTTTTTTTTTTCTGTTTGTTTGTTTTGTTAATTGTGAGGTCAGGATAACATTACTCTGTGAGGGAAACTGATGATGATCATCATAGTACTTCTTTGAACTAGCTTTTTTAAAAAATTACTTGCCCTGCTCACATTTTCACCACCCGCAGGTGTGTGAGAGCTGTGAGATGTGAACTGTGTCCAAATGTCACGTTGCCATATAAACTGTTTCAGGCAGGTGTATTGTCTACACCAGCACAAAACAGCAATGCAGGTATGGCTCTGAAAGTCCTGTAACACCCCTTTCACTTGGAAGGTGTTTCCTGGTTTATGTTTTCTTGGTTTTCCCTCTGTGTCTCTCACAACTTGTACAATACAGCAACATCCATCACAGTGATATTTTACTCTACTTCTTTTCTCTGTCTCTACACATCTTTCGGGAATTTGGCACATTTTTTCCAATTAAGTAGTCCAAGGCATTTCGTGGCACTTTGCCACCAAATTAATTAGAATTACTTAGTTAATTGGGAAGCATTACCAGTCTGTTCAGTGCTTGTTTCTTTCAAATAACAAAGGGTATCTCATTCAGAATGACTCTTTGCTCAGTAATTAGTACTACTAGAAACTATCTTCCTTTAAATCTTTTGGAAAGTCTCATGAAGTCACTTGATATTTCCTGCCTAATGTAAAGGACAATCAGGCATTGTTTTGTTAGTTTGGGTTGTTTTTTTTTTTAACTTTAGTCTCTGTGGAAGTTCCAACAAGAAGGGATATTTCTCACAAGCATTTTGAAGGCTATACCTTGAGGTAAAAAAGGAAAAGATCTTTCCCATTGCCAGTATGGTTAATTTTGCTGAAGTTCTGTAAGTAATAGAAAATTCCATAAATATTTATTATTCATGATTAAGTCAGAATGGAAGGTGTTATCTCTTCTGGATTGCCCAGGATGGAACCATACTTCACTGTTAGCAGTCTCTAATAGATAAGAAAATAACTAGTCAAACATTTTAAAATTACACTGAGAATTTAGCCAATTTACAGGCAGTATTAGCAGTACTGTAAAGACTGAAAATCCTGTGATTTCCTGCTTCAGCTTTGTGTCACACCATTACATTGACTGTTTCTGGTTAATACTGAAAATAATTTTTGGAAGCTTCCAGATGAAATGTCCTAAAAAATAGGGCAGAATCTATTATGATCTTGATTCAGATTAATTGTTAGGGTGGAGTCACCTGAAGAAGTTAAGCTTTTAAGATGTATCTAGGTGCCACTAAAGTGGCTTCTTCATTTCTTCCATCTGGAAGGAAAAGCAGCTCATGTCAAAGTTAACGCTAGATGTTCAATGGAGCTCTCATCCATACCTACACACATCTATTAAACATGGTCTTCAGTTTACCCACAGTATATTTTTAATACAATATTTGGTCTTTTAAGATGGAATTTCTTTTTCTTTTGATCTTGGATTTGGTTCAGACCTCTTTAGAAGTTGCATTTTCTCGTTCTTAGACATCTTCTTTGACTGATATGGTATTTAATCTTCTGTCATCCCAGCCAAGATGTTGTGCATGATGAATTAAACATCCCTGCTGTTTTCTTTGATCACAGAAATAACAATTACTCTGTTATTATAATCTCCTCAACTTGTCATAAGGTTTGCATAGCTTAGATGGAAAAGAACAGTTAGGTAATTGATTCCACTCTCTTGTTCAGACAGCTTTTATTTGAGCAAGAGACAGATCGGCTGGCCTTGGACCCACCTACCAGAAGTGAAACTTACTGAAACATCAGAGCTTTCTGTATGTTGGGGGTCCCCCTTGGCCAGACAAATTTAACTGTGTGACCATCATTTTTTTTTTATGTCTTTAACTTGGAGTTTGCTCTTCTGATGCCATGTTTTATCTTTTCAATTATCTGACAATGTAGCAATCAATATTTCCAACTGAAGTGAAGTTTAGGCTTCCTGAAACTGAGTGCCACTCCTCCACCAGCAGGATAAACAAGGACAATGCTACTGATAGAATTAAAATCCTAGCATTGCAGAAAAAAAACAAACCAAAGCTCTTTAGTGCCTGCTTTTCCTGTCTGGTGCACTGTGTATATTTTACCAGAAAGCAATTGTAATGTGTGTGACTGCTTTAGGGGCCAATACTTTGACAGCAGAGCCAGTCTTGAAAGCCCTGCATAGTTATCACTTGTATCCCATGGCCCTGTCTGCTGGGCTTGCAGTTCCCACAAAAATTTAGTAGTCTTTCTGGAATTGGTCCAAAGAGAATTATCTCAGTGGGAATTATTTCAGTAGGCTGTGGATGAAGTAAAACATTATAAAATAGTACGTGTAAGGGAGTCTGTTCTGCCATCACACACCTGAAAGCACCATGTGGATTAGCACTTCTATTTATATAGCATTCTTTGCCTCAAAATATTCAGAAGATTTTTATAGATTGATAAATCTATAAAATTTCTTATGAGTTCAGTTCTTGTAACAAATTTTCATGTGTCCAACTGAGGTCCCAGAGAACTGATGTTTGCTCATGCAGATCCCTTCAGCAGGATCAGGTTCTGTGTCTGTGAATGGCAGATCCATTCACTGAATCCAGAGCTGAAGTGTTCTTGTCCTTGTGAAATAGGGTTGTTAGCAGTTCACAGCAGCAGTGTACTACCTCTTGTCCCCAGCTGAGGATATCCCACCCAACAGAAACCACAGGCCATGCTTACAAATAAAGATTCATCCCACTGTAAGAAAGAGTTTGCCTCAAAATCCATCACTGATTTTTTTTTTCCCATTTTTCCATGAAACCTCTGTAAAATATCATACCTTGAAGACAAATTATATGTGCTTATGTCATAGGATCACAGAATGGTTTGAGCTGGAAGATACCTTAAAGATCATCTTGTTCCAACTCTCCCACCCTGGGCAGAAATGCCACACCTAAATCAGTGTATATGTAGATATATCATAATATGTGCATATATATGTATAAAAAAAATCAAAAGATGACATTTTGTGCAGCAGTAGACATCCTCATGCCAAGACATGCAGGGTACAGTTATAGACAAAAGAAAGTGACTGCTCAGTCACCAGCACAATGCTTGCAATCATTAATGCCTTTTCCCTGGCTGTCACTCAGAGTAATTTGCAGAATTGTCTGTCTCACAGTGTTGGCGTCACACATACCAGCTGCAAAAATGCTCCTCTTTTCATTTCAGAGACTTCCCCAGGAGTTGCTGAAGTGACTTTTGTGGAAAAGGAGCCTGCTGAACGCCACACAATCGTCTCTTGGGAGCAAGTGAGTATTTTCCTGATAAAACTGCAGTGAGATCAGTTTGAATGTGGAGCAGCCCATGGAGAATGTCAACCTTGCGTTTATGAGATAGCTTGTTACCATGTTTGATGTACTGTGCAGCCTAAACAGGTGTTGTTGGGTTTTTCTTAATCAGGTACTCTTTTAGGCTGTCACGTGCATCTGATTTGTTAGAGAAACATCATCAGTGTGGGTACATTCAGCATGACAGCTCTAAAAAGAAACCACATAACTGTAGCAGGCAGCTACAGTGGTGACTCAGTGGGGAGCAAACATTTTTCTGACTCAGGTCTGAAAACATTTTCCAACTCCCTCTCAAACAAAATGAAGCAGTGCTATGTGATCCATGGCCATTAAAGGTAAAGACCTCAAGCTGGCAAATATTGACCTACCCAGTTTGTTCTAGTTATCTGTTTCTCTTTTTAGTCTCAGCCATTTGCTTCAATTTCTCATAACCCTTTCTTTCGCCTCCTCTTTGGCTACCCAACCCAATCTTTTGTCCAGGGCATGTCCCATTGCCTGCTCTAGAAGACTATGAAGGACATGTGCTACCTTCACTCTGCATTATCTGACCTTAGACATCATTCTGTGTGATTAGAGAGCTCCTAAAAACTGTTGTGTGCCTCTCGTGGGCAAAGGTTGCATTTTCACTCCCTCTTTGAAATAAACATTTCTTCATTAATCCCATGGCCATGCTGGAATAACTGCTTGGTAGGTATTGCTTGTGTAGGGATGGGACAGTAGAAGCTCTCTGGCCTTTGGAAAGAGACATGGCAGGGGATGGGGTTGAGTGAATCATTCTCCCTCTGCTCTAACCCTGGCTGTGGCCTAAAGCAGCTGCTCCCAGAGACTGCTCTCGTTACCACTGCATAAAATACAATACTCTTTGACACCTTGCCATTTACTGTCTTTCCTAAACAGTGAGGGGAAAGTCTTACATCAGTTTTGGTAATGCCCTATTCCAATTAGTGACATTATCAAGAACACATATATTTATAGATATATATTCCAAGTTGGAATGTATGTGGAGAAACCTCTGTGTTACTTTCTGAAACTTGTCCAGAAGTCAGCAATTGTGGTCAGGGAGAAATATCCAGTTTTTCAGGTTAGTGTAAACTGATTCCTGGTTTCCTGTAGCTGTTGTTCAGGTGTTGGGTTAAGTGAGCTGGAAAGTTTGAGGCACCATGACTGCAAGCCAGCTCAGGCCTGGGAACACAGAGTGATATTTGCTCATTCTTCTGTTGAATGGAGAGGACTGCTTCTCCTGGACACGGTGTTCATTCCTCTCATTTTCAGGTACTGTTCTCTAAACTACAATGAGTTTACTTCAAAACGGAGCTATTCTTGTAAAGCCAAACAAATGTCATAGCCAAAGAGACGCCAAAACAAAATTTCAGTTCCAACCCTCCCCCCCAACCCAGCGATGTACTAAGTCAATTGTGGAAGTAAATGTTGAAAATTAAATGAGTACAGTTGAGTTGGGCTTCTAATAGTGAAGGATTTGGCTGTCTGATTCTTTGGTTTTTGTTTCAGTTGCATTGATTAAATTAAATTACTTAAATTTCTCAAATTGAAAAATAACTGGATTTTTTCTTTTCTCTTTTTTTTTCTTTTTTCTTTTTCCTTGTGCTCTGGGGATGAAGTGTAAACCTAACCCAGTCTATACGGTTGGAGGACAGAATGTCCTGCCGTGATGATTAAGTGCAATGCACTCAACAATTCACAAAGCTGTTCCAGGATGAACTTGAACTTGTACATCATTTTTCCTGGAACTTACCTTTCTTGAATTTGAATACGTTTGGTTTTTTATCGGATTTTTGGCCACGAGGTGGCAGTACTTATGCACGTAATCATTTATCCGTGGCTGAGATTTTTAACAAGATTTTGTCAGAGTATATTTTTAACTTCCCTCTGCATCTTTGGTTATGAAACTATTTGCAGGACTTATTCTGTGATGTAGGAAAAACTGCTGAAACTTTTCCCAAAACTACGTTATTTTTCTCCCAACAACTTCTTCTTCTATTCAGCCTCACTAAATAAAAGCTTTATTCTTTAGATTAATTGTTTAATGGACTTAATTTTTCCAGTCCTACTTGAGTTCTGCAAAGAAAAAATTTTTTACTGAGAAAAAAATCCAAGTGTTCAGAAGCTCTTAAAAGAAAATCAACCTTTCAAAAATTATTAATTAACGTATTATTTTATTCATACCTGGTATATGCATTTTTGTTTCCATCAGCCATGTTTCCTAAATTGTGTTGTGCCACGTTTGTGCTACTATGTAACTGGATACTGCAGTGTTTTAAAATCTTACCTTGTTGAGATTAAAAAAATCTTTCAAATCTTAAGCTTGTTCAATGTTCTTTAGCTGCCATGAAGCTTTGCAGGAGAAGCTGAGATTCATGACAGGAGTTAGTGCAGTAAGGCTGTAGGAGAGAAGAAGAGATTTTTCCCAAGACAGAAAAAGCTGCTAAGTGTTACATGTCAGGAAGTCAAACTTGAAATCACTCCTGAAGAATTTATTGGAAATCAGCACACTCACAAAAATGTTCAAATATATGGTTGCCAAGTGTATTTACGTGGGTAAAGCATCGCTTCCACTAAAATTGTAAGCAGTTCAATATATTTTAATAAATCTAGATAATTTTTCAATGTTTCCTCATACTTAAACCTACTAAGATGTCACCTTTTCCCCCAGAAAGAGAGATGAGATGTACAAGAGGGAGTAGAGAGAGAGTTACCTTGTCACCAGAAAACCAATGCTAATAACTGTATATCATCCTAAGAACCCTTTTCCACTTCTAAAATTAGGCTGGCAATGGCCCTACGCCCCTCCACTTGCAATTTTTAGAAACAGATGTTACACTAAAATACTGCTAGGAGGCACTCTGGTGCAGTGTCTGAATCACATTTTCTTTTTTGCCACAACTAGAAGAGAAGTGAGTCACCCGCTTCATTGTTTTGGTTTTCAAAAAATAGAAAACTGCATTTTGTTGGAGGGACACTGAGGTATCCTAGACCATTTTCTCTTGTCTTTCTCACTTGGTACTTGGGAGAAAAGCCTGACCCACACCTGGCTTTCAGGGACTTTCAATACCTTTCAGGTGGTAGAGAATGAGAAGGTCTCCCTCAGCCTCCTCTTTTCTAGTCTGAACAACCCCAGGTACATCAACCACTCCTCCCAGACTTGTGCTTCAGACCCTTCCCCAGCTTTGTTGCCCTTCTCTGGACAATCTAGCCCCCTCAGGGTCCTTCTTGCTGTGAGGAAACAAAGCTGAACACAAGATTCAAAGTGTGGCCTCACCAGTGCCCCCAGCACAGGGAGATGAGCACTGCCCTGGTCCTGCTGGCCACACTACTGCTGACACAAGCCCGGTGTTATTTGCCTTCTTGGCCACCTGGGCACACTCCAGCTCATGTCCAGCCACCAAAAAACAGCACCTCCAGGTCCTTTGCCACTGAGCAGGTTTCCAGCCACTCTGTCCCAGCCTGGAGCTGCAGGGGGTTGTTGTGACCCAAGGGCAGGACCCAGCGCTTGGCCTTGTTGAACCTCACACAATTGGCCTCAGCCCATGGATCCAGCCTGTGCAGATCCCTCTGCAGAGCCTTCCTGACCTCCAGAAGATCCACACTCCACCCAACTTGGTGTTCTCAAACTGACTAAAGGAGCTCTTGATTCCCTCATTCAGATCATCAATAAAAGTAACAGTGCCCCAGCAGAGAGCCCTGGGGCACACTACTAGTGACCAGCCCCAGCTGGGTGTAATTCCATGCACCAGCACTCAGGGTAGGGACATCAGCAGCCAATTCCTCCAGGAAGATGTTGTGGAAATGGTGTCAAAGGCTTTACTGAAATCTGGGCAGACACATCCCCAGACTTTCCCTCATCCACCGAGAGGGTCACTGTGTTACAGAAGAAGATTGGGTCAGGCAGTTAAGCCTTTCACAAACCCAACTGGCTGGGCCTGATCCCCTGGATCACCTGAACGTGCCATGTGATGGACATTCAAGAAGATCTTCATGACCTTCCCCAGCACTGAAGTCAGGCTGACAGGCTTGTAGTTTCCTGGTTCCTCATTTGAAACCTTACACATGATCCAGGAACCTCCTGAGTTGCTTCCTCTACTGCATAGTTTCCAGCACATGTCTAGAATGTCATCCTGCTCGCTTCTGCTACATCTCTTTTTTACTCCAAATATGCATGCAGGGTGTACATCTTCAACAGTCCTTTTTGGCATCCTTCTTGTCCTCCCTTAGCATTAGCCAAGCCTGCTCTCCCTGGTCCCCATGAGCACAGGATCTACTCACCTTGAGCTTGCCTTGTGGCTGTGACTGTGAGAGAGATGGGGAAGTGGATCCATAAGGGCCAGCATCATGAGGAAAGCTAAGTTTCTTCAGGCTGCATAATGGGGAACAGACTGGAGGAATTTGGGGAGGTAGTGCTTCTTACATGGTGTTCTCCCTCTTGTTAAGCTTTACAGCATATTGAAAAACTAGCTGCACAACAATATCCGCAAGAGAACTTCAAAACTCTGTTCTCTGCAACAGGGAATCAAGTCTACTCCAACCCCAGAAAATCAAGGTGATCTCCTGGGAGCCCCACAGGTTAGATTTATTAAAGGTGCAACAAGAGCATCTCAATATGTTACATAAATTAACATCAGCATTCACTGGAAGCAAGGAAAAACCAGCCATGAAACTGCAGGACATGAGGGAGAGAGAAAGGTGGCTGCTGATGTGGTCTGATACTTGGAAGCCCTGAGAAGTTTCATTAATGCCTTCTTTCTCTCCCCATAAGCTGGATAAAACTCATTAATGTTTTTAGAGGTCTCTAGAGCTGTATGTTTTGAATGCTGTTTCTTTAGTATATTTGTTTGAGAAGCATTGTTTCAACAGTGTTTCAAGTGAATTACCACATGTCAGGGCTCTTAGTTTTGGATGCAGTTGTAATCAGGTCCTGACAGCAAAAATCAGATTCTAATATTTTTCTGTGTACTCAATGGGCTGTGCTTTCTTAGGAGACTATTTGGAGATACTACAGAAAACAAACAAAAGGAATAGACCTTACACACCATATTAAGCACTTTGGATATTTTGTTTTATGAGCTGATGAGTGTAACCAGATAACTGGAATGAAAACAGCTGCTTGCCAGGGCTGTGGTTAAGCCAATTCTGACGTGTTATTTAGGAACAATGTATTTTACGGGGCTGGAGAACACAACCCTGAGAACTACCAGTTGAGCAGGAGGAATACTGAGTTTGATAAGCCATTTTTAATATATAGTGGCTTGTTTCCCTTACTGCTGTCAGGAGATTACTGTTCTAATATCATATGGTCATGTGTCGAAGCACAATATGACATATAATAAATCCTTTTCATCAGATGAGAGAAATGGATGTTAATGACACTTTCTATTTACAGGCCTTTTCCTATAGACCCCAGACCTGCTCTGATACTGCATTTTCTACCCATATATTTTGCACCTTCATTTGGAAACTCATGCAGAGGGACATGGTTTAGAGAATCCTGAAATAAATTCAGAGAGCAGCCATCTGGAAAAACATGCACCTGTTGATCTTTTTCAAAAGGAGGATTCAGAGCAGAAAACCTATTCAGATGTGATTTTTCTCTTGTCTTAGCTATTAGTAAAATTGGTCTGTGCCTGAGTTGTAGCAGGATTTAAAATATAAGTTTTAAAATCTTAGGGTTTGTCATCCCAGTGGATCTGGTTCTCCTGCTTGGAGAATAACACCCATTGAAGCCAGGATACTCATTCACATACATGTTTTTACTGCTGCAATGAATTAGTTATAATTGGGGGATTTGAAATGTATTCAAAGTGTTATGTAAACTTTTGTACTATCCTGAGGCTTTGTAGCATGTCTGTCATACTTTCTTTCTTCATAGTTTTAGCCATAGTCACTGTGCTTACAGGTACAGCTTGAAACTGCAAGTGATGAAAGTACAGCATGAAATTATAAATATTTAGGACTGAGCAGAACCACAGAAGAAGGTGTGTTTGTTAAAGGCATTTGAAGAACTTCAGATATGTCCATGTGGTTTACTAATCACTTTAAACTTACCACCAGGTCCTCAGCCATCAGCAGACTCTTGTCGTAGGATGGTAAATTCTTCTTAAAACAGCCTCTGCAGTGTCAGGTTATCTGCTTTAAGACCTGTGGACCCTGAAGATTTTCTCTATTTGGATTAGGAAAGCTCTGAGCTAGTGACCAGGCTGCTTGTGAGGAAGTAAGTGACCTGCCCTATTGCAAGCTGCAACGCCATTAGTGTCTGGGACTCCTCAGTAGCAGTCAATCAGTATTAATGGATGTGCTTTAAAAGAAAGTTAACAAGCACAAGGTTGTGGGCAGAATAGGGGGTCCTACATAGTGTGTAAACCCCATTTTGGGGGACAGAGACTGTAGCAACCCAAAGAAAGTGTCTATGGATAAGACTTTAACAGTCAGAAGGGCTGTTCTCATTCTAGGGAAGGGAGGACATGTGGACAGGATGAGACCAGCACCTTCCCTTCCTCAGCCAGCAGCTGATGACTAGAGGCCAGCATTGCAGCTGGATGCACAGCTGGCAGGTTGCTCTTGCTGGACAGATACATCTTTCTTCTCTTGAGATGTTAAAAATTCATGCCCCAAGTGAAGCAGAGATACTTGAACTGTATGTGCATCTTCCTTTTCCTTAGCTACTGCTTACTAGAATATTCTGTCTTTATTTAATGAAACTTTTCCACAGGGAGAGTGGTGCAGCCCTTGAACAAGTCAGTATGCACAGACTGTGGAACCTCCACCATGGGACACTCTCCTGAGTTTTGAGGTCTGATTCTTTTGAAGTCCTGAGTGTGACTATTTTAAATTTCAACTCATTGGAGTCAATCTGGTTTTTTCCCTAAAACAGTTACAAACAGACCAACAGGTAACTCCTTTAGTCATGCTTGTTGCTTGTGTTATTAAAATGTCTGGCTTCCATCCTTTTTAATTTTATGTACTTGACACTTCAGCAAGAGCAGAGGGTCACTGCTCTGCAGCCAGTCCTTTCCCCAGCAGCAGGGTCTACAAATGCTTACAGCTCATTTGGTTTCTTTTTGCTCTGAAGATTAAGCCCTTATCCGTCCTTCATTGTATTTGCATTTGTATTTTACTGAAGAGTCTAAGATAAGAAAGACTCTTTCCACAACCAAGACAGGTATAGGAGAAGTGTTCTGGTTCCTAGAAACTCAAGCTCATTTGGGTTGCTTCTTTCACTGGCAGCTCAGAAGGAAGCAGTCTTAGGAGCCCAAGCCATGCACTGAAGTTTGGAGGGATGAAGCCAGACCAGCAGGTTTGTGAGCCTGGCTTTGCACACATTTGCAGACATACTTTTCGTTAAGTGAAACGTTAAATCTGCTAGAGTATGTGTGGTCTATTTTAAGTCTGTGCTTCTTTCACCTACTTGGATCTGAAATTCCTCAGAAGAAGAGAGTCATTGTGCTAATATTGTACATGCTTTAGTGGAACAGGTAAGTTTAGTCTGATTCCACTTAAAGCAAAACTCACTCTTTTAAGCCATATATATGAAAAAGCTGATTGTTCTGATTTATGTGAATTTGGAGTGGCTGTTAATCTCAAAAGGTAATATGATGTCTCAGTTTGGGAACAATGCTGTAATAATTTTGTGGTGACTAAATGCTCATTGTGAAATTTCCCCAAGCTACCTTTGTTAAGACTATCAGAGTCCCAAGAAACATGCAGTTTTCTCTCAAGGCTTTAGAATGAGATGTTTGAACTGATATCAGTCACCTTTGAATTAAGCAAAAAACTTGGTGGTAAATATTTCTGTACCAGTTTTCAGTTGTTCTTGGGGTTTGAGGCATATTCTGGATTTTCCCATTACACTTTGATTATAATTTGCAGAAAAACTCCTGTGTATTACCTGAGGATTTAAAGAACTTCTATCTGATGACCGATGGCTTCCAGATGACTTGGAGTGTGAAGACTGATGGTGAGTCCCTGTGTTACCCTCCACTGACAAGCTCAATTCATTGCAGCCAGTGCTTTCTTTGCAGAACCTCTTTAATTTCAAGCTTACTTTCTGCACAATCAGTGTACATCTCTCAGGGCAGAATCTACTGCTTGCATGTATGGGCCTCCCACAGAAGACGTGCATATGCTGAACACTGGCAAGAAACTATTCGTGACATAAATACTGTTCTGTAATACACTGGCCATCTGTTGACACTCAGATTTAGGTGTGTCATTTAAACCTTACACCTTAACTCCCTCTGTACTTCATGGAGAGAGAAATAGCTGTAGCTCATTATCCCATCATAAATCTGTAGGAAAAATCACCCTCTGATAATGTTTCTTTCTCATTAAAATGTGCATGTACATATTGGAGCCTGATTCTGCTTTCCATCAGCTACATCCCAAGCTTCATTTTCCATCCTTTTTCAGTAAAAATCAAGTAGTTTGTTCAGTCTGGAGCTGTTATCCTGGCTCTCACTGCCCAATCTTAAACTGGGCTGTGGACACTGCTTACTTCTGGAGATGGGTATGAAATGCAGGGCCTTCCTCGGGAAGTGGAATGACATTTCAGAGGCAGTTTACATCAGTGCTTTAGCGCCTGCAGTGACTCCTATCATATTTCAAATGGGACTTGATGTGTTATGACCTCTGAGGAGTCTTCTTTTCAGGGCTCACTAGTGCAGGGAGACCAAGGCTGCTGGTACAACTCTCTTGTTTGAGCAAACATTCAGCAGTGCCTTCTGAGACCCATCACAGTGGGATGTAGCTGAACAGGGTGCTTGCTCCCTTGATGTCTGCTAACAGTCCGAGTCCTCAGAAACATGGACAAGTGACAAGTCCTGTAGGATTCTTTCAGGAGCGCCCACATGTTGATGCACTGAAAAATCCTCTGTGGAAGTGAGAACCAAGAGGATGTACCCTAAACAGGTACATGAGTGGAAGAGGACAAGCTTCCCAGTAAGCTGTGTGTGTGGGGTGGTTTCTGATAGGAATAGGAGCAGCAGGGAAAAGAGCTTTGAGGAAGAGGCTGTAGCTGAAATCCTGTAGCCAGGATTTTTAATTTTTCACAGGACTGAGCTAACAGCTGCAGCACAGTCCTTGCCAGCAGTGTATTCTCATACATTTACAGCTCTGAGACAGTATTGCATCACATGTAAGTGGGAGTCTGTTTGAAAAAAGCCTCATTTTTGCTCCTGTAAAGTCTTATTTAATGTCTAGGTCTGCTGGGTATAACCATCTCTTCACCCCACAGAGGCTGATGTCTGGAGAAAAAGAAATAACCTCCCATGCTTTCCTGACATTGGATATGATTAATGATCAGTTTTACTGCAGATACTGGATGTGATTAATGATGGGTCTTGTTGCAGATACTCCAATGCCCCTGGGCTCCATGGTGATTAACAGTGTCTCGAAGCTGTGTCGGCTTGGGGGTTCCTCTATGTACACTCTGCCTAGTGCTCCAACTCTTGCTGACCTGGAAGATGACACAGACGAGGAAGGTAAGGCACTGTTACCAGGCTAGAAAACCTGCTATGTCTCATCCCTTTTGTTCTCTTAATGTTAGGATATAGCATAAGATAAGTGGACCAAATCACTTTCCACCAGACCAGGTTGCTCAGAGCTCTATCCAGCATAGCCTTAAACACTTCCAGGGCTGGGGCATCCACAATTTCTCTGGGCAGCCTGTACTAGTGCATCATCACCCTCACAGTAAAGAATTTTTTCCTAATATCTGCCTTCTGTGTGTGAAGCCACTCCCCCTTGCCCTGTCACTACATATCCTTGTAAAAAGTCCCTCTTCATCTTTCTTGCAGGCTCCATTCCAGGTACTGGAAGACCACAATTAGGTCACCCTGAAGCTTTCTCTTTTCCAGGCTGAGAAAACCAAATTCTCTTCGCACCTCTGTTATCCCCAATGGCAAGGGAATTGGAACAAGATGATATTTAATGTCCCTTCCATTCTACAGTAACATAAAAGGTTACTCGAGGTAGATGGGGATTACTTGGTCTAGCAACCACGTAATGCAACAAGGATGTCCCTGTCCATGTCAGGGCAGTTGGAACAAGATGATCTTCAAGGTCCACTTCGAACCCAAACCATTCTGTTATTCTGTTGATCTGTGATTCTGTGATCCTGTGATCCTGGGCTGGATCTATTATGTATCTTACTAGTTTCCCTGCAGCCTTGGCAGGTAGATCTGTATGCAGTAAATGTCATAGGGTTTAGTGTTATTTGCATCCTTTTTGAACAGCTTGTTTTGCCTTTTCCCTGTTTGCACTTCCAAAGTTTTTTGTGTGCTTGTGGTGTTACATGAACAAAAGGCAACAGGTTTTGTTTTGGTAGTGAAAAGACAGCTGGTATTGGAAAAGTAACTGATACACACATGTAACTATGAGGTTACCCTGAAGTACATGTTCCATGCTGCCCAAAAATGCTGGCAATGCTGCTATTTGGAGAGAATAAAAAAGAAAAAATGTCATTCCGATTGGGAACGGCTATAAAGAACGACACTGGACTCTCAAGGGAGTCTCAACAGGAGAATTCCTCTAGTTTATTGCTTCAGGCCTGTCTTATAGACAGATACGTGGAAAGTACAGAAAAGAAACTCTTATTGGTTAACAAAGTGCTACATTACCATCATTGGTCAGGGGGGCACACTACCCCCCTGACTTTCTCCTGCAAGGGAAAACAAGAGGACAGACAAACAGCACCTGCAAGGCTGTTTAGTGTCCCTGAGAATTGTTTTAATTCCTTCTCATATTTTTCCCAGGCTACTTTCTCAGGCAGCCTGAGGAGCTATGCGGCCTGTAATTTGTACAGGCACTGTGGTTCAGATTTAGCATCCATAAAAAAGAAAGCCCACTCATTTTGTCAGAGCTCTCACAGTCAAGTTGGAAAAATCAAGAGGATAAGAACACAGCCAGGTGTCACAACAATGTCTTAAAAGAATGCTATCTGATTTCAGTCTTGTCTCTGCATCTCTATAAGCTCTTCTAGCTTCTAAATGTGGCTGAAAGTATTTTTGGACATTCCAGTTTGGGTGCAGTCCTGATCATCTAGCCATTGTAATGAAATGCACCAAATTTTGCTTCTATTTATTGGCTTAAACCTTCATTGGTGCATTTATAAGGTACACTGTGAAAAAATTACATCCCCACAGAAGTTCTCATTCTGACTTTCATGGAAAATTCTTCTAAAGAGTACAGCTTTTGTACATCCCACTTCTTCCCCATCAGGTTTAGTTTTCAAAATTGCATTCTGCAGGAACTTGCAGCTACACAGTCCCAAAACTGTGTTGTAGAAATGCTCAGTAATGGTTGAGGGTCACAAGTTGAATAAGAGTCAGATGTAGTTGTTGAGAAGGATGCTGGTGTCACACTGGAATGTATGGAGAAATATGTATCTCTGCAATTTCATTAAAGTCTTGTCCCAGGAGAAAAAGAATAAATTGTTCTCCCTGTCCTCCTTAGAAAAAAGTAAATCAGGACAAAAAAAAGGAATCATATATACAACAGAAATAATGGGCTTCAATGGTAGCAGGAAGATTCAGGATCCATGAGGAAAACTTCTAAAGTGATAAGTGATGGATTTGGGTTGAGTGCCTAGAGACTGTCTTCTCTAAGACTGGAGAACTTTAAGAAAAGATTAGCCAAACCTCAGGAGTGACATATGTAAACCTTGTATTGCTTAATGGCAGGGGGGAACTAGAAGTCAGCTCATCTATTTTCAGCCATCTGATTTTGACTCTGTGGTTTGTTTTCCTAATAGAGATGAAAATTTTCCTCACTATTTTTTTTTTTGCTTAGTTTTATTTTAAACATAGGCAACTTAATAATTTCCAAGAAGTATAAATGTAATATTTTGATTCAGTTCTTCATCAGCTGATTCATTAATGTATAAAACAGATTGACTCTTTGCAACTGGGTCGCAGTCAGTTTTCCAAACATGTTTCATAATTTTTTTTCCTTGGTTTCAGGTAATGGAGACAAACCCGAGAAGCCACACTTCGATTCTCGTAGTCTTATCTTTGAATTAGACCCATGCAATGGGAATGGGAAAGTGTGTCTTGTTTATAAGCATGCTGAACCAGGTAAGACTGAAAAACGAAGTTTGTTACCTCCTGTTACGGATTGTATCTGGAGGCCCCATGTAGAGAGTTGTCTTGTATTTTTGATCTTCTTTGCAATTTGTAGGTGAAACTTTTACTGGGATTTCTTGTCTCCACTGAAGTCAGGAGTTAAATCTTAAATAGATCTAACGTTTTTCACTCCTTTTCATGTTGGAGTCTGAGTTACAACTTCTGATTTCTGCATGCATAGAAACAGGGAAGTATTCACATGTGACCTACAAAGAGTTGTGTTGAAATAATACAGAGCTCCACTAATACAGCTACTTGCATGTCTTGGAACAAACCCGTTATATTTTGATGAGAAAGGGTATAACTCTGCTTAGAAACAAAGTGCAGATGGTAAAAAAGCTGAGAGAGAATTAGACTGGATCTTCCACCTTGTGCATGGATGCTGAGCCTCCAGGTGCTAACTAGGCAAAATGTGGCTGTGAGGGTGAGAAATGGAAGCTGAGCTGTTTGTTCTGACAGATACAGAGATAACTGTTACCAGTAAGAGAGTACTGAAACACCTAAGGCACTTGTAAAACAGCTGTCATCTGACACAGTGCACAGGTCACTAGATGTGTGTTTACTGTGTAGGGTTGTGCAATTCCATTATACAGGTTCTTAAGAAAAATGTTGGGTTGATCTCTTGTGCCTTTCATTGGGTGTAACTACAGTTCTTGTCCTCTTGCCTCCCAGTGTTAGTGATTTCAGCACTTGCAGTGGATTACCTGGGCAAGGGAAGGGAGCACTGATTACAGGTGTCCATGTCAACACAGGGGCAGCCTGTTTAAATGACAGTGTTCAGCATCTCAGTCTCCCAAGAAAATAGCTTATTTTTATGCTACAAAGGATGTCAGAGAAATATTTGATCACTGTAGTAAGATTTTGCAAAATGTGTTTTTGTTGGCAGCACACACTCCCATGACTTCCAGACTCTGGACTCTGTTCAGTAAACCAGATGACTAACAATTGAGTTAGTTGCTTTTTACTTTGTGGGGCAGATAAATGTTTGCCATAATTGTACTTTGAACATATACCACAAAGTTGCTGATGTCCAAGAATGTTCCATGTAGCGTGTCACTCCCAGGTTGTGAAGGAACAGCCTTGCATTCATTGTCCAGCACACAGCTAGTCAAATACTCCATGCAGTGGTATGGGTAGGACACAAAAGGTTATAGTAAATAGGGCTAAATAGTAAATAGTCATCAGGCTGACACTTGTGGGGTTCTGCAGGGCTCCACCTTGGGCCCAGTGCTCTTCAAACAGCTTGAACACAGGACTGGAAGGTTCTGAGTTTGTTCATTATACTGAACTGGGAGAAGCTGATGGCTCCCTGGAAAGCCCTGCAAAGAGACCTCAACTAATTAGGGAGATGTGCAACCACCAACCATATGAAGTTTAACAAAGACAAGTTCTGGATTCTGCACCTGGGCTGGAAAAAGTCTGGATGTACATAAAACAGTCCTTCTGATGAGTGTGTTATGTCTCCCACCTGACAATGGCCAGGGGTTAATATTAATACTGCAAAGCAACAGTGTAATTTGTGCTTGTTTTATTCCAGTGGTCTCCCCAGACACAGAGATCTGGTTCCTGGACAGAGCTCTGTATTGGCATTTCCTCACCAAGACCTTCACAGCCTACTACCGCCTGCTCATCACCCACCTGGGTCTCCCACAGTGGCAGTATGCCTTCACCAGCTATGGGGTCAGCCCCCAGGCCAAGGTAGGACAGCAGCACCCAATCTGTCAGTATTTTGCATAAGTATAGACTGGAAAAACATCTTCCCACCTTTTGGCAAGCTGTCTGTGGGTTCAAGGGGGTCCCCCTGGTGAGCCACAGAAGGGACCACAAGTTTTTCTCTGTAACTTGTTAACAGTCATTTGTTTCACAGTAATTTGAATTCACTAATATTGTGTTAACCCTGCTTTTCTCTCAGCAGTTGGGCCTTGATAAAAATTATGCCCCAAAAAGGGCAATTTAAAGTCCTAGAGGTAGCTACAGAAGACCTCTACATAAAGCCTTGTGAGCATTCCAATCACTTATTATTATTAATAATAATAAAAGCAGGATGTTGCCATGCCAACATCCTGCTGTTAGAGGCTTCTGCAGTTCTTCTGTATTTGACTGGGCCTTCAGCCCTATCTCTGCCTCCATCCTGTGAGAGGTCAGGGAATGAAGCAGATGGTCCTACTGAATACAGCTCATAAGCCAGCACATTGTCAGTGCACCTTGGCAAAGCCTATTGGGACTTGAGTGTCCCGCACTTCACCTAGACATGACAGTTGCCTTATGAGCATGAGATTCCCTTGTCCTGTGTGCAATCACAATTACTAAAATCACTCCTGACTTCCCATCAAACAGTGACTGTAGAATTTGGTTCTTCTCATGCCTGATGCCTTCCCTGTTACACTGCACTGGACTTTATCAGTCAAGGCTGTGTACGTGGCACCATGCTCTGCCTTCCTGTAAGTTCCTTGCTATAAATATTTTATTATGCTCAGTATATTTACAAACCTTAAGAGGAATCATTTATATATTCCCTAATCATTTGCAGCCCCTGATGGTTAAAATCCTCCTAGTTCGTTAACCTTTATAATTTTTAAAGGTTTTCAAGGGGGTATATTAAAGATGTTTCTTAAGCAGTACATTAACAGATGATTATCTATATTTTGGTATTCATCTTCTGTTTATCTTGTTCAACACTTTGCTGATGGTTTCATTGTGATTTGCAATACCATAACTACTACAGTTTTATTTCCTGAATTTTTTAATGAAAAAATGATACAAATAAAATAAATAAAGAGTTGAGAACTGTAGGGCGAAGCGTGGTATTTCCTGCAACCAAAAAACCAAATCATTGTAGTTACTTCTAGACAGAAAATCAGAAACAATAAGACAAACAAACACAAAATTCTTTGTGTAAGGAGTTAAAAAAATTCATTATTTTATGTATGAAGAGAGGGAGGAAGGTTACATTTTGAGAAATTCAGCTAGTTGGTTTTTAGTTTATAAGCACATTTAAATTCCAAAGGATTTTTAATAGTTTCTGCTTATCTGAATCTAAATAAATGTTGTTTAGTTTCATCCTTTCCTTTTGCTTTTCCTCCTGTAAATCAGGATTTGCTTTTCTTAGGAGTTACACTGCAGGAAAGGTGGTGTTAGGGTTGTGTCTGGTTCTCCTCTTCCCTATCTGGAATGCAATTCCAGGACTAGGGCTGTACCTGTGCCTTGTGTATCCTTATCACAAGCACTCTTCCAAGTCATGTAAACTGCTAACTGATAAGTGGCATAGGATTAAGATCATGTGTTGGGGAAGATGGGGAGCAAGGTGGAATTATCTAACTGCAGTTTGAATTTAACCTGTTCTTTACCCACCATCCTGCCTTTCAGCAATGGTTTAACATGTATAAACCCATAACCATCAACACAGCACTCCTGTCTGAAGAAGCTGATTCCTTTGTGAACAAGCTGGACCCCAATAAAGTATTTAAAAGCAAGAACAAAACTCCAGTGCTCAAGAAGAAACCACCTTCACAGCCACCAGGCTCCCAAAAGAGTCACACAAACATGACCTCTGCCAAGACATCCACGCTAGCTGGGAATTCTTCAAGGAAGTGAGGCCATCAAATCTGACCCTGGACAACATTTGCAATAAGCTTTGATGTTTTCTGCTGCAGAGTCTCAGTGGTCCAGACCAAGTTCCTTGTGCATGAATAGATGTGCCCATGGAAAACATTGCAGCACTTGCATGAAATATAACCACAATGTGAATGTAGTTCCTGGAGGGTCTTAGAAAAAAAACCAAACTTGATACACCAATTGCATTCCCTTCTGCTACTTGAAGCATGTACTTTTCAGAAGGCATGAAGAAACCTTTGATGTCACTGCTCTGTAGGGAAGTTTTTGTTCCTGTACAACAAGGAAGTTGAAATCTAGCAGTGAAATTAAAGCAAATGTAGTTCACTGTAACTTTAACAGACCCATGCTGAAGTAGAGGGTGTGAAGATGTTTCTGCCATGTCCCTTGAAAAAAAACTGTCCTGACCTTGCATGCTGTGGGAGCAGGCTGGAAGCCACTGAACACAGAAGTATCCTTCACTCCAGATAGAATCAAACCCTTCACTTCCCTGTGCTTCACCCAACCTCTGCTCTGAGATTCACGGTACAATGGGACTTGCGACTTCCATATCTCTGCATTAACTGAGCCACTTGTGCAGCCCAGACCACTTTTTGGCCTTTGTGCTGTATCTTTTCAAATGGTGACATGATTTGAAACAATCCTGAAGCCAGAAGCTGCAAGATCCTTTGTTGCCTCCCTTTTGTGGGAGCTGCTGAGCAGAGAGTCAATGGTGTTTATTCCCATCAGCCAGGAGGACCCCTCAGTTTGTCACACATTCATTTGCAAAGCTGGCCATTGAAACAGACACTTTTCAGTTGGGAGGATCTCACCAGGGGCCACTGAGATCCTACACCCTTAGAAGCCCCTGATGCTGTTTTCTCTACTGTAAATTTTCAGGTTAGAACTGCACTTTAACCCATTCACTGCTGGTTTTCAGTTACTCCTGTTTGTTTCCATTACTTTTCTATGCTATTCTGTCTTCCAAATATGCTGGAATCATGGTAGCACACAACACATTTTGTGCCTGAATATGGATATCAGAATCACTGTCTTCAAGTATTGATTATTTAAACAGCATCATCTCTAATTTTTGAAAACACCAATAATTACATAAGACAAACTTACCTCACAGGGATGTTGTGAGGCTTTCATGAGTATTTGTATGGCCTTCAGAAAGACAAAGCCATCCTGTAAGTGCTTAATAGTATTTTAATAAATATTTGAATATTTTCCTCCAAATTGATTGGGTATTTGAAAATGCTTTGGGGAGCACATGGACATGGGATGCAAAGGATGTATGGGGAGAGCAGCGTTCAGGACGGATTGTTTGGGGTATTTTTTTAATGCATTAGAGAATATCTCACTGAGAAGGGATGGGTTGCAGTGCTTTTAGCTAATCCCTCTTGAGCTACTCAGAAATTTCCCATTTATTTCGCATAGGCCAAAAGACTGAACTGTGTGGCAGCTGTTCTACTTCTGTCCTGCAGTCACTGTACAAAATCTCTGTAGCCATCAGCCCCTGCTCAGGTGTGTTTTGCTGCTTCCAGCACTGCCAAGGGCCCACTTTCAAATGCCATTGCTGCATTGCCTGGCAGCCACTCTGCCATCCCCAGATGACAAGAAATCCTCTAATGCACCCTCTCAAGCCCATGTGCATCTTGAGACACGTGAAGATTTGTTGCAGCTCCTCTACTGATAAAAAGTGAGCTCTAATGAGAAAGCACACGTCAGTATTTCCCACCCAACCCCACCCCATGCCCTAGCAATACCTCAGTTATACTTTTAATATTGGGATGAGAATGATTGTTGAAACCAGCCATTTCCAGCCCTTTTCTGGAATTCTTTGCAGTAGTGATGTTCTGTCTCTTCCTACTCTTGGAGATCTCCGTGTTGTTTATTCATGGCACCCAGCCTAGGGACTGCAATTGTGTGCTTGACATATGTACCATACTTGTGTAAGCACTTGCTAGAAAAGGTAAGACTCTTGTCACCCTCATGGGAACAGCCAGCTTCTGATAGTGTTCTGCTTTTAATCCAGTGACACCTCAAACTTAAAAGGCTGTTGCAGGCTCACTTCTTCATTCACCTGGAGGTAGCAGAATTCCTGCAGCAGAGGGGCAACCTCTTACATTTCTCATGCATTCAGAGTAGAAAAAAAGTAAGGGGGAGGGGAGTTTGTTCAGGTTTTTGGAGACGCTGTCACAAAAGTTCTCTGACTTCTCTTGTGGTGGTAGTTGGTGCAGCTCAACTCTAGTGTCAGTACACTCATGATTCTTTGATGCCAGCGTGTTGCAGAAGAACTGTGGCAGGATTCAGGAGACCCTGTAGTTTAGTTTAGTAAATTTTTAATGCTTCCTGAATGTTCAGATCAAAAAACAAAAACAAAAACAAAAAAAAAAAAAAAAAAAAAAAAAAAAAAAAAAAAAGCATAAAAAAAACCAAACAACTCAACAGGTTCATGTTTCTATTTTAGACTGTCCTTGTTCTCTCTTTTGTGCTGTTCCAAACTAGGTGTTTCTTAGGGTGACAAATATGAACATTAAGCAAGCCTAGGCCACTGGTGCCTCTTACCAAGGAATATTCCAGATGAATATTTCTATGTTAATTAACTAAATCATGTATCTGCCACTGTTGATGCCTGTATTTTGATTTATATGTATAGATACTTATCTGGAGACTTGTAGCTCTGCTTTGTTTTTCTTCAGAATATGATGATTGTTTGGGGGTTGAGTTTTGTTTTGGGGTTTTTTGGGTTTTGGGATTGGTGTTTTTTGTAAATTTTTTCACAGAGAGATTAAATCATTTCTTCAGGTCACAGTCAGGTCTACCCCTACACAGGTCTGCTCAATATCTTAGATACCAAATTTGTCTGTTTAAGCAGAGTAGGTTTACTGAAATCTAGTCCCTCATCTGTCCACCTAAAAGGTGGACAAACAGCTGTGCCCTTCACATGTGTCATCACAGCACATGTCTGTCACAGTCTTGAAGTCTCCATGTCTGCCTGTTCTTTCTTGTGTTCAGTTTCATGGCCAGGGTGGTTGTGAAAGTCAATGCAGAGTTTGTAGATGAAAACACCAAAAAGACATCCCAGAATTGGAGCTGTGACTGGGACCCACCACCAGGAATGGTCAGCCCTAAAATGAAACACAGAAGATGCAGCTGGTGAGCTAGACTGGAACCACGGTCCTGCCACCACATCCTGCTGGGGAAGGAGTGAGCTGTGTGAGCAGAGTCTGTCCCACTGCAGCCACTAAGCCTACAATTGGCTTAGACAAATTTTCTGTCCCCCCACATAACTGCTGGAGGGAAGGTCATTTTCCCCATCAGCATGTAAAGGTAGCTCCACACTGCAGGTTTCTTGTTCTCCTAAAGAAATGGGCTGTGTGGTCTCAATGAGTTGGACTCTCAGACTGTTACAAGCATTTTGCCTCCCCGCATCCAATAAAATCTGTGACTCCTCTACCAAGCTCTCAAATATATTTTCTGTGAATTTAAGGAAAATGGGCATCTGGGACAGGAGACTGGTAATGATCTCACCAGAGAAAAAGCCATAACATGACACCATCTTACTAGATAGAGTAGGCCATGGTTTCGTGTCCAAATTCAGACTCAAAATTTAGGCAACCTGTTCAGCAATCCACCTGCATTCAGGTGAGCTGCATTCTGGCTTTCTGCTCACTGCAAAAACCAGCTGGGTCTCCAGTGAACAGGCAGACAATTTGGTGCCCAAACTGAAGTATCTGAGTGAATCAAGGTGAATCCCATGCCAGAGAATAAGTGTACCCCAAATTTTGTGTACATAATGAACAAGGCTCCTGTAAGCACAGCCCTCACACTCTGTACTGATACCATCACTTGGTCCAAAGAAAAAAGGCTTCATGACACATTTTATCTTGTGCTTATCTCCTCCCCTGGCAAGCTGAGCAAGCTAAGAACAAAACATTCACTCACGTGAAGACGGCCGTTCCCCAGCCAGCAATTGCCGTGAAGATCCGGGGGGGCAGGTCCCTGGAGGGGTTTATGGCATAGCCTGTGTTCAGCCCCATTCCCAGACCAATGCCCAGGACCAGCATACCCGTGAGCATGGGCTGAGCGCCTTTGATGGCCGCATTGTTTTTCTCATCATGGATGACTAAAACACCCAGGATCAGCATAACTGTTGCTGTAAACTGCAGGAACAGAAAAGGGTCAGGATAGAGAATGGGGAAGGTTGGAAGATTCTGCTCAGGAGAGCAGGAAAGACTTCCCAGCATGAAAGCAGATGAAATTCATGGTCTAATCAAGGTGGGAGGGACCCAAATATTACTCCCTCCTCACAAGTGGACTGAAGAAAATTATTTTCTCAGAAAAAACTCATCACCAAGACTGATACAAATTCCTCATCAATGTCATCTCTATCTTTCAAGTCAGGGAAATGGGTTATTTTATGTACATTCTATCTGACAGAAGCAGAGCCATAAGAAACTGCTCACGAGACAAAATTGATCACCCCTAGAGGAAGTGATGTTTTGTACAGCCTGATTGCAGATATCAGATTCTCACCTGGGAAACTGAATTTCCCATCAGTGACTACATAGCTGGCATTTATAGATTTGCACTGCCCAGAACATCAAGAAGCACAGTTTTGATAGAGTTGATGACACCTCTCTCTTTATGCTTCAGAAAATGCAGCTGGAGAGACTTGAACTGCTTGCACAGACACCAGCAAAACCAGAAACTGCAGCTTTTTGGCAAGGCACTGTAATTCTAATTTGCTTTCTTGTGGATCAAGGACACTGCCTGGTCCACAGGAAGCTGAGGGGATCCACTCCCCACCTCTAAGCTCTTCCACCATCCTCTTTGTCATGCCCAGGCAGGAGTCCAAATCACAGGCTTCCAAAGATTTGCCTTGGAAGTGAATCTTCCTTCTCTGGTGTCTTAGTGCCTCTCATCCCCTGAAGAATCCCTTTCCTATTTCTGGGCATCTGGACACTGTGCTGTAAGCTGGGAATCCACTGCACACAGTCTCAATGGATCTGTTCAAACAAAGAGGTTCAGTCCAGGCTGTGCCAGATGTGGAGACAGTCCCAGGCTCTCTGTGCTGCGGAGGGGCAGCACAGCTGCCAAGGAGCATGGAGTGGGGTATAGAATCCAAATAGGGAAGGAACAGTTCAGCCCTGAACCCAGAGGAGATGGCCAGTGATACAGCTCAGCTTCTCACTTCTCACTGCATGCATGGCATGCAGGGAAGGTGTCTGGAGAGCCCCTGAACCAAGCTGTGAAGCAGCCTACATGCATTAGGCTTTAGGCCAAACCCTTTAGGCTTGCCCAGCCACCAAGGTGATTTGGATCTTTCAGGTGCCTGCCTGGATGCTGGGCTTCTTGGGAAAAGAGGTAGTGGTTGTGTCTGTGCATGTAGAGCTGTGGGGACCTGTAGCAGCCCTGCAGCAGCACCTGTAACCACCCACCTTCTCCTACCACACCACGGCCATTCCCACTGACCTCTGTGAAGAAGGCTCCCTGCAAGGATACATTGGGAGCAGGGTAAGTAGAGAAGATCATCGCTGTGGCAGTTGGTCCTGACACTGTAAGGTTTCCTTGGGTGTAGTCATAAATAGCATCTAGGAGAAGTGGTAATTATGGAAGTTAGCACAGCACTCATCCCACAGGACACACACACAAGTCCACCTGTTGCAGCCAGCACAGACATCTGGGAGAAGGGAGGCAGTGGAAGATGTAATGGAGGTGACACACTCCTCACAGAGCATGATCTCACCAATATCTGTTATGCACAGACTTTGGTCTGAAGTCACTTCCTTACACCTGCCAGCTCCCTATCCCTGCTCCAGAAGCCCAGGGTAGCCTGGATTGTCTGGATACACTGGAGGCCTCCAACCCTCTGGCACTCAGAGACCAAGAGATGCTAGAGGCAACGGGTAGTGGATCCTCTGCTCACAACTCGAAACCCCCCATGGCTGCAAACCTGTGTTCCACAGATCATCAGAGGCCCCCAGAGCTCCAGAGGCACCTAATTCATGGTAGTTCATGTAAATAAAGCCCCTGCAGACCTGAAAACAAAATGCTGACAAAATGCAGCTACTGTTCTTCTGCTAAAGACAGCTCTTATAAGTGGGAATGCCCAGCTCTCCAGGAGCTCTGTATCCTTTCCAGAGGTATATCTGGGACCTGCTCTGAACTTGAGCTGTGGTCTGTCCCACAAGCCAGGAACTTGCCTTCCTCACCCAGAAATCATGCTGGGTACTGTAAAAGGACATACATTGACAACACTATGAGCTGACTCAAATTATCCTTACAGCAACCTCTGTGACAAAAGACACAACCCTACCATAGTAGACAGCAAAGACGGTGGCTGCTGCCATAAAGGAACCCAGGAACTGGCCGATTATATAAGCTGTAAGTGTTGTCCAGGAGATATTCCCTAAAACGCATTGTGTAATGGTGATGGCGGCATTCAGATGAGCTCCTGCAAAAATCACAGAAAAAGAGAGGCCTCAACACTGATGCAGCTGTTTTGGAACTTGTGATGTGGTAGATGCACCATCCCTAGAAACATTCAAAGCCAGACTGGACAGGGCTCTGAGCAACCTGCTCTAGTTGATGTTTCTGCTCATTGCAGACCAGTTGGACAGGATGAACTTGAGAAGTCTCTTCCAACCCAAATTATTCTCTGGTTCTATGCCCTGTTCCCCACAGCAATCAGCCAGACACTGACCCAGAAGAGCAAGAATCTCTCAGGTCAGGGTCCTACTCCTGCATAGACACAAAATGAACCTTTCTGTGGACACAATTTCTGAACCTGAGAGAATTTCTAGCTCTCAGGGGCTAATTTTTCCCAAGGGAAAGTCTTTGGGAACTGTCTTACTTAAGGACTGTTTGTGTCAATAAGGTTTTACTCTCCCAAAACAAGACACAGATGTTCTGAGTGTTTTCTCTCTTGTCCCACCAATGGGATGAGGGAGGTGTTGTTCCTTCAACCAGTCAGGGTAACCTGGATCGGAACACCTTATAAGAAAGGGTAGAAAACCCCGAAAAAAAGGCTTTGCCTCATGAACCTCTGGTTGCTGTGTGTAATATTCGAACCCTTCACTCTATACTTCATGTCTTGTAGTGACGTCTGGTGCCCAACGGGGATTCAGCATCAAGACTATGGCAACCAAGGAGAGGTAAAATCACCCCCACCCACCCTAGAAAAACGGGGTTTTTTTTCAGTCCAGTGGGTTTTGCCTGCCATTTTTCCTTTTGCTGGAGAATTCTTCCCAGTGAGCTGAAAGCATGCCAGTGGCTGCTTTAGCCCCCGAGGAGGAGATCGTCCTGGATTTATGTTTGGACATTCTCTACAGACAGGATCTGAACATTTCTGAAGCAGATATTAATGCTTTATATTTACGGGGGAAAGAACACGGATTTTTTCCAACTGCCGCTGATGCACTGTTGAAAAATCGTTGGCAGAGCTTAAGTGATGTGATACCAACTGGTGCTGTTTGTAAGAAAGCAAAACTGCTCCTCCCTTGGAAGAGATTCACAATTATAATAGAAGCCGTGAGCTCCAGAGCATTGTCTTGCGATGTCTCAGAGGCTGGGTCCGAAGGAGGAGACTGGTCTGATCCACAAGCCGCTTTGCTGGTGCATATATCACGAAAGACAGCATCGAACTCGGACCAGAACTGCCTAGAGGGAATATTTTCCCCAACCCCATCCCCTTGCGAGTCCAGCCTGGGGGTGGGTGCTCTTTTGTCCGAGTCACACGGGATGGGTGACCGGCGGGAGGGGGAAGCAGGAGATTCGACTAGTGAAATCCACCCCTCGCCCGGGGCTCGGGAAAGCGCGGGATGGAGGGGAAGCAAGCATCCTCCAAGAGTTTCCGATGGAGGGAGCACAAGTGGCTCCTGATCCACCGGCAGTGGCGGCAGGGCCGCTAGGACCCCCCCTCTGTGGTGTGCATGAATTTTGGCATTGCTACTCTGACCCCTTCCCTCGGCCAGACGCCGCGGGCACAGGGAATGGCGGGATTTCATCCGCTCCCCAAGCACAACTGGGGGGGCCCCACCGCGCCTGCACCGGCTCCGGCCTTCGCAGTCAGGCAACTGATCGATTTAATGCCCGAAGAAGATGGTGTGGCCCCGCTCTAACCTGCGTGGACTGGTTCGGCGCTGCCCCTTAACTCAGACGGGGCCGGCGGTGCGGCCCAGGCGGCAACAGTGGCGCAG